CAGGAAGGAAACAGCTGGAAAGATGGCTGTGGAAGCCTGGGAGAGTACTGAATGGGGGGTGGAGGTGGGCTCTTGCAGGAATTTGAGAAGGAAAGTCAAGGGCAGGGAGCCAGCTGAGGTGAGAAGCAAGAGAAGCCCAACAGCACTGGAAGGAGACAACCTAACCTCCTTGCATAGAGTCAGGAGGTGGCAAAGAAGCCAGCAAAGAATCACAATCTCCTGGGGGAGGAGACCCAGGAATCTGTGTTTGCAGAAGCTGTCACAGGTAATGCTTATCATCAGGAAAAGCTGGAGATACTCAGGTTTAAATATTAGGCAATGCTGTCCCAGAAGGTTGTGCGGCAACAGGAAAGAAAGAACATCTGAAAAAATACTTGCCCAGGAAGACTCCAGAGGTCATGGTGACCAGATGCAGGTGACTAAGGTAGGTGGAGTACTGAGGAGGAAATGAACCAAAGGTCCAGCCCAGGTTACCAGCTTTGGAGAACAGACAGAGGAACACCTGAAACAGTCAGGTAGGCTGCCAACATAAATGCTGAGATGTGGGGTTTGAGAGAACAGTAATGAAGTCTGGAGTGTGGACACCACAGTCACACTTTGCTTTGCATAAACCTAAGATATGAAAATATTTTACTGCAACAGAGTGAGGATGAGGGTCTTACTTTACAGAAAAACTCTTCACAAAAGGAATCATCATGAAGACTCTTTAGAAGAGTGGCTCTCAACACCTGGCTGCACATTAACATCACCTGGGAGTTTTTAAAGATCCCAGTGCCCAGGATGTGCCTAACCCAAGCCACAGTATTTTCCATCACCTCATGTGCATGTGAGACCTGGACAATGAATAAGGAAGACCGAAGAAGAGCTGATGCTTTTGAGTTGTGGTGTTGGCGAAGAATGCAGAAAGTACCGTGGACTGCTAAAAGAAACTAACAAATCTGTCCTGGAAGAAGTGCAGCCAGAATGTTCCTTGGAAGCAAGAATGGCCAGACTTCGTCTCACCTACTTTGGTCATGTTGTCAGAAGGGACCAATCTCTGAAGAAGAACGTCATGCTTGGTAAAGTGGAGGGTCAACAAAAGAAGGGAAGGTGCTCAACAACATGGATTGACAGGGTGGCTGCAGTGACAGGCTCAGGTATAGTAGGGATCGTGAGGCTGGCACAGGACCAGCCAAGTGTTTCGTTCTGTTGTACATAAGGTCGCTATGAGTAGGAGATGACTCGACAGCACATAACAACAACAACAACAGTGCCTGGGAGGATGAAGGTGATGGGCCAAAAGCCCGTATTTCTCTGCAAAGAAACAAAAAATCCCAATGCCCAGGCCTTACCCCAGAACAATTAAATCAGAACCTCTGGGGGCAGAGCCCAGGCGTCAGTAATTTATTAAAGCTCCCAGGTGATTCCACTGTGAGCCAAGACTGAAAGCCTTGTAAAGAGTGATCACCTCCTATACTGTATTTTTCCACAAATAATGCACATATTATACAGGTGTTTTCTGAAACTCCGCAATCCCCTCACACATAAGATTCCTGTGTGCACTATGCACATTATATGTGTAGGTATATTATTTGCATGAGCATATAATATGTGGAAACCAATACAGTAAATTCCCTTTCCAATCTGGAAATAAGTCTAAGAAGCCTTCCTAAGAAAAGTCTGTTAGCCTTTGAGCCAGCAATTTCAACTCTCAGAATTTAACTCAAGCACCTAACAAGAGATACAGACAATGATTAATATACAAAGGTGTTCAGCATAGCATTATTTACAATAGCAAATAAAAAGCATGAAGGAACCCAAAGGAAAAACTTCTGAACTGCTCAGTGGGAGGGGAGGAGAAGGAAAAGGAGAACAGAGTAAGGGGGGGGGGGGTTTGCTGAGACAAGAAGGCGGCACCAGGAAGGCAGGCACACACTAGCATCAGGACAGAGAGGAGTTTGTTCCATATTTTAACCCAGATACTAAACAGGGAGGAACCCAGTGGTACAGTAGTTAAAGCACTTGGCTACTAACCAGAGGTTGGTGGTTCCAACGCATCAGATGCTCTGAGGGAGAAAGAAGATTTACAGCCTTAGTGTTTGCACAGGGAGACAGCTGGGACCGTGGGGGCAGGAGGGCATGGGAGGGAAGGACACAG